AGCGCCCAGCGCTGAAGACTACAGCTATGGCTATGGGCGCCCAGCGCCGAGGACTACAGCTAGCGCTACTACTACCGCCTAGCGCTGAAGACTACTGCAGCGCTCCTCCTGAGTGCTGCGGCCAAAATCTGAAGACTACCGTCCTACTCTCCAACTGCCTACCCCCTTTTCTGCAGGGCGGGCCAGTCCTTTATAGTGCTGGCCCGTGCAGGAGGCTGGCCGTGCCAATGCTCCTCTGGCCTAGACCCTGTGGAAGCTTCCAGGCAAGAGCCTGGAAGTTCCCTGAAGTTTCCCTGTAGGGAAACAGACAGGGGCCTGTAGGCCCTGTCACAAGGAAACTTCCAGGCAAGAGCCAGGAAGTTTCCTTGTAGGGAAACAGGCTGGGGCCTGTAGGCCCTGTCAGAAGGGAGCTGCCGGGCAAGAGCCTGGAAGTTTCCCTGTAGGGAAACAGGCTGGGGCCTGTAGGCCCTGTCAGAAGGAAGCTTCCAGGCAAGAGTCTGGAAGTTTCCCTGTAGGGAAACAGGCTGGGGCCTGTAGGCCCTGCCAGAAGGAAGCTTCCAGGCAAGAGCCTGGAAGTTTCCCTGTAGGGAAACAGGCTGGAGGTCCGGGACGGGCCCTGCAAGGCCCGTGTGGCTGCACAGTATGCCACACCTGCACTCTGCCCGTTGCGTCGACGTACAACACTTTAACCCACTCCCTGAAATTCGGGCCAACCCCCATTTTTTCCATGCAAGCGTGAAGGAAGTCCCAGTTGACTTGGTCGTTTTCAAAGTCGAAAAACGAGATCGCTGCTTTCATCCTTTTTTGGGTTATCTTTTTGGCCGCCTCATTCAGAGTCGTCACATTGTCGAGTATGTGGCGGCCTGGGATGAAGCCCACTTGGTCAATGTGGAAGCATTTGTCTGTCAGATATATGATCCTTTGGCTAATGCTTTCCCTAGGATTTTGTAGGGGGGTGTGAGTAGCAAGATGGGTCTATAGTTTTTCAAATCCTCTTTCTCGCCTTTTTTGTGGCGTAACAATACTACACTTGTACTGAGATTTTGGCCTAGTCCTCGGTCTCTGCTGTCATTGAAATTTTTGAGAAGGTCCTCGCCTAGTGTGGGCCAGAAATGGATCCAGATTTATCGTTACCCATCTGAGTCAGGGCTGTTTGTAGTTCCCCCAACAAGAGTGGTCTGTCCAGCCCCTCGGTCTGTTCTGGCGAGATTGTCTTCTCCAGGTAGGCCATCATTCGCTGTCATGCTGTTGAGTTGGCTGAGGGGAGGGGGGAAGTTGTTTTGGATTCATAGAGCTGTGCATAGAACAATCTGGCTATTTTCACCATTCCTGAACCTGATTGGTCGACCCTTTTCTGATTGTCTGGGTCCTTTAACCCTCCAATGTTGTTATTTTTAGCGTTAGCTTTGATTTTTGTGAAGTGCTTTGCCATGGATTCGTTAAGGGTGTGGTCGGTCATCCTGGCTCGAACCTGCAGGCCTCTCAGTTCCCATCTCCTCCAATCGTCGAGTTCTTCTCTTGCTGAATCGAGTAGTTGGCTGTAGAAAGTGTTTGAGGGATCTTTTTTTCTGATTTTTAACTTTAGTTTGGCAAGGAATTCCAAGAAGATTCCCAGGCTTGTTTTTTTTTCCTTCCTCTTTGAACAAACACATATTCTGGTTTTGTTATTTTTAGCGTTAGCTTTGATTTTTGTGAAGAAGTGCTTTGTCATGGATTCGTTAAGGGTGTGGTCGGTCATCCTGGCTCGAATCTGCAGGCCTCTCAGTTCCCATCTCCTCCAATCGTCGAGTTCTTCTCTTGCTGAATCGAGTAGTTGGCTGTAGATTTGAGGGATCTTTTTTTCTGGTTTTTAACTTTAGTTTGGCAAGGAATTCCAAGAAGATTCCCAGGTTTGTTTTATTTCCCTTCCTCTTTGAGCAAACACGTACTCCGTTTTTTTCCGGTTTTTTAAGTAAGTACCCATACACCGGAGTCGGACTCCCCCTTTACGCATTCCGGGTGATACACAAGTTTATATTTAATTCACAACTTACCGCAAAACCCAGCATGGTGTTTCACATGTGCGGACCAGAGCAGTACTTGCCAGGATGCTGCAACAACAACAACCCACCAAAATCACATGAAGCCAGTCCCCACCATATCGTCATGAATTGCTTTCCATTTTTTTCCTGAAAACTTACCAACTAAACAATTTGCATGGACCAGTTCTTGTTGTGGGCCATTCCCGGCCTCAGTTTCATTAATTTAAAAAATTTCATACCTCTCCTTTTGCCTTTTCTATGTGCTGACTTTATTGTGCAAGACATCTGTCGACCCGATTAAATGTTGGGCATGTGGAGTTACCATTGCCATCCCTCTAGTTTATAGGGACATCGTGATGCACCAAAGACCACAAACACACACACAGAACATGCAAACCGTTTTTAAACATTCTCGAAAAAGCATGAAACTGCACTATACCCTGCGACAACCCAAATTATGTGACCACAGCTCCTAGAAAAAGAACCAAAATTGATGCACTTACAGACCACTTGCTTTTTCTTGCGGATCAAGCTAAACAGGCATTAGCTAAAATGGTTCTAGAACCCGAATGGGAAGCCCGTTTTGAACCTCACTCTTATGGATTTAGGCCAGGACGTAGTTGTCAAGATGCCATGGAAGCTCTGGCTAGAGCCATTAGAGCCAAATATGTGCTTGACCCCGACATTGCGAAATGCTTGAGACAGGGCGCAGTGGTCGGCACAGGACCCATACACAAGAACAGCATACAAAAATCAAGATATGGTTCAGAACTTTCAAAGTATAAGAAGAAACAACAATAAGAGTGAAATTAATGAACTACAAAAATAGCCACCAGTAGAAAACGGTCTGAAAACCATCACATGGTACAACTGCAGTGTGCAAATCTCGTCATTGCAAACTCTTGACAGCACCACGCCGGAGAATCAAGTGAAACAGCATACCTCGGTACTTGCTGCTCCAGCACTTGAATCCAGCTCACCAGCAAATGCATAGGTATATCCACCCCATGCTTTCTTAGTAGACTACAGACTGCCCCAACCCTGAACCAAGCCATGGGAAAATTCCACCCAACAACCATGAGAACCCAGAAGAACACACCACAACTAGATTAAGAACAAGGTGCCAAAGAGTTTGGCAACAACACATCCATTTCAGACTGGCATTGTCTGGCAACATTATTCTATGGTAATCACAGACCCATACGTCAGATAAACCTGGGCAAAAACACAGACAGCAGATAGATGCTTGACGTCCAGACATCCGGACAACATCGGGATACATCCCCAGACCTCGACTGTCCAGATGGGTGCACGGGGCCCCGAATACATCCGGATCTGTGACGCACGTGCAGAGGCACGTGCGGAGAATATGATGACAGAGAGAGAGAGAGGAGGAATGGATACACACGAGAAGCAGCAGCTGAGTGAAGGTCCAGTCCGGCCGCATGAATGAACGAACGAACAGCATGAATGAATGAACCTCCCACCCTGGGCCTAGGCCGAAGTGATATACCGGCCTAGGCCCAGGTACGGGATAACCTGGTACCGGACCAGGGTCAGGCCGACGGCCTGAAACAGGTCCGGCCTCGCTGCCAGGCCGTAGGGGTACAGCTACACGATCCTCGGACCTGTGAATGGATCAAGTGATACATCAAACACGCTATCCGCTGAAATAGCGGAAACCCAAAAAGTCGGCAAAACGAACAATCCTAGATGCGGAGCAGGCTTCATGCAGGAAAAGGAATGCAATCCAGACTAAGCCTCAAGCCTAATCTATACCATAAAATGTCTGACCTGTGTCGGCCAAGAAAGAGAAAAATGTCTGACCTGTGTCGGCCAAGAAAGAGAAAAATGTCTCATGAGTCAAGTAGGCTGAATATAAATCAACACCGGGGCCCTAAACGCCAAAGAATAACTAAACCACTGTCCTAAGCCGAAAACGAATGTGGCACAGTCTCACGTGCCCTGTACACAATGCACAATACCTGAAGAAAAGAGAAAGGGGCTCAGTCGCATGGCAGAAGTAGGAACGGGTGGGAAAGCGGCAGGTACAACTCTCAGAGTAAACTCCAAGGGGGCACACACACAACCAGGTAAGGGGTCATCAGGCTCAGAGGGGGAGTAACAGCACGACACCGGGCTCAATGGAAACCATCAAACGGGTACCGCCAGCTGAGAGAGGGGAAGGGCACTCACACAAGGGAGCACGCATAACGTGAGCCTGGAAGGAAAGAGAGGGCCATGCCGGCATAGACATGTGGCCAAAAGCCGCGAGCAAAGAAAACTTACACTCCAGAGTCGGACGTGCAGCATAAGGCAAGGCAGAAGGGCGACAAGCGGACACACCCACATAGACAGGGTCATGATGCGACTGAAGGGTAAGCTTGAGGGTGGTGGATAGGTATGAATGATGGGAACTCCGTACCCGAAAAAGTGAAGTAATCCAACTGATGAGTGTCGAGACTGAAGTCGAACCGAAGTAGCCTGGATGAAGTAGGAGTACCGCAAGAACCGAGTAGAAGTCCGGAACAATGCGACAAGTACTCTGGTACTGAAGAGCGGCACTGAGGTCGAAAGTCGAATGTAGAAGTCGAAGTAGGAGCCGAAACCGGGAGCTGCTGCATACGTGTCCAAGAATGGTAAGAGACAAAGAGGGTAAAAGGGATAAAGATCAGTCAAGATAACGAGAAGGAAGTCGATGGGTACGCTGAGGGCGAGAGGAATGAACTGCAACAACAGGCGGAACCACATCCACAGGGGAAGGAGGTCCTGAGGCGGGTACCGGTGGAGCAGGAGAACCCATCGATGGAGGGGGGGGAATGTTAGTGGTCGCAGAGGTAGAAGGGTCAGTAGTAGGAGGACGAGAAGTAGGAGGGGAAGATGATGAAGGGAAAGGATGATCGTAAGCACGCACGAAAGTCATAGCATGCTTCAGGTGTGCTCAAGAGGCTCCCAAGTAGACTTCTCGTCAGGGTAACCCTTCCATCGAACGAGGTACTCGAGGCGGGGAGGGTCACCATCAGTCATACGCCGGGACGCAATATCAGAGACGACAAACTCCTCGTGACCCTCAATGATGATGGGGGAGGGGCGAGGGTAAGGTCAACCATGGAACTCGGGGGGAGACCGTCTGAA